AGAGGGTAAAACCCACCAGCAGAATTTGTGCCAAATCCCCTTTTCTAGCTTAAAATGAGAGGCAAAATTATCTCTCGGTGGGAGTCTGACTCTCCCTGTTGCTTCCAGTATTTCTTCAGGTAGTTTTTCCTCTGGGGGGAACATTTAGTGCAGCTGCTGCCTTTTGTGGAAGCTTTCAGAAGGCTCCAGTGAAAGTCAGCTGCAGATGTGTGAGTTCTCCACCGAGGAGTTCCGAGCTGCACAAAAGCAATTGCTTTAGGCACAGCGTCAGGGCTTCAATTTATTTTAAAAACTCAACTTTCACTTGCATGTTCAGCGCATCCCAGGGCAGGGAAGTTGCGTGTGGACATTTCCAAGCAGTGCCCCTGGCAGGTGGAATTATTTTCATCCTCTTCAGATCTGCACAAAAGCAAAGTCACGCTTCGCAAACCATCCCACAGATGTGAGTCATGTCTGACCTGAAGGGAGAAGTGTTTGAGGCCTCTGGATCCCGTTAATCCCTGAAATCACTCCGAGCCCCATCCAACCTGGCCTGGAGCATTTCCACTGAGAGCTGGGTGCAAAATGTTGGTCCTGGTCCTCTCTGAAGCCACCGACGTGTTTTGTTCACCTCAGCCGGAGCTGCCATGTTCTCCCCTCTGAGGGTGGGGAGGCCCCGGCACAGAATTCCCAGAGAAGCTGTGGAAGTGCCCAAGGCCAGGCTGGGACAGTGGGAGGTGTCCCTGCCCATGGCAGGGGGTGGAATGGGATGGGCTTGAATGTCTTTTCCAACCCAAACCATCCTGGGATTCCATGAAGGGACCTCACCCTTACCCTGGCCTGTGCATCTTAAATTCAGTGCCAGTTCATCCAGTACTGACTAGACATATAAAACCACTAAAACTTCCTTGTAATTTACATTATTTCCATTTTTCTCCCTCTTGCTTTCAGTTTTTCCTCAGAAATTGGGAGTAAACCACACATATCTGCCCCCAACCTCCATCCCAGGCCTTGACTGATTATTTTAATTACCCAAAGAGCCCCTCAGCTCCCTCACTGCACTCATAAATCCTCATTTTGCCTCACAGGGCTGGTGTCAGACCCAGCTCCCAGTCCCTCCCTGGCCAGAGGAGAAGCCTTTTAGCCTGGCCACTCGTTTAAAGCTCCAGCTGCACATTCCTCATTTGCAAACTCATTAGGAATCCCTGGCAGCAGAGCAGGGCCCTGGGATGCTGAGGCAGAGCAGCTTCTCCTCAGCCCCAGGGTGCTGCTGAAAATCCAGTGTGAAGTCACAGATCCAAGTGCCACAGAACCCAGTTTTCTGTTTTTTCTCCAGCTCCTTTTATTCTCTAGCTTTCTGCAGTTTTAAACCAGTGCCTTGCCTCTGCTGGGGTTGTTTTGGTGATGGATGAGCTGCAGTTCCAGGAGGAAACTGGAAAGTCTGATAAACTGCATTTAAGGGAAGCTGTATTGCTCCATCACCAATATTCCTCTAGGAATTTCTTTGATGGAATCCCAGAATGATTTGGGTTGGAAGAGACCTCAAAGATCATCTCATTCCAGCCCCTGCCATGAGCAGGGACACCTTCCACTACCCCAGGTTGCTCCAAGCCCTGGCCTTGGACACTTCCAGGCCTGGGACATTAAAAACTTACACAAACTTCTGCAGGAAACCTGGTTCTTCCATAACTTTCTTTTCTCTAGGAAAGTTTCATATTTGCTGTTCCAAAACACACCAGTGGTTTAATTTGGGACCTTGGTTGGGCTGGGCTCTCTGCACCCATCAGCTGAAGTTTGGGTACCCCTCTCACATCACAGATATTTTTCCCTTCCCTCTGCTTGTTCCACTCCATAAATCCTAAATCCAGGCTGGAACAGTCTCACATGAAGCACTTGATGGATGGCTCCAAGAGAAGAAACTTCCCTGTGTTCTTGCCAGGCTCCTCCAAAGTCCCATTATTTTTATTCCCTTGCATTTCGAAGCCTGGGCCCATTTCATCGAGGACGAATAACTCTCATTCCCAGGTTCTGAAATGTTTTGCTAATCACAAGTGCTGCATGAGAAGAGCCATCACATTGTGAATAATTGATGGCTACTTTATTGAGTTGTCAGCACTAATTCATCCTCCTTTTGAAGTGCTGCGATGTTCAAAGGAGTCATCCTTTCACAACGTGCTCATTTTTCAAGGAAAAGTTCATTTTTATAATTACTTTTTTTTTTTTTCCCTTTCTCCCTCCCCCACTGTGGGATGCAATTGTAGCTGTGTGGCGAGAGGGAGGGATGAGGCACCCTCCAGCTTCTGCACCCTCTAAAATGCCTTTATTCCTCCTTTGGCTGCTCATTTCTCTGCCTCCCCCGTCTCGCAGAGGTTTAATTATACCTGTTTTAAAAGTGCATTTTGAAATATGACACCCAGCTCTGCCGCAGAACAAAAGAGACATTAATCTGTTGTTGAAAGGGAAGGTAAAAAGCTCTTTTTTTGTGTGTGTGTGTGTCAGGGGCTGCCCCTCCCTGACAAGCAGCGTTCAGTGGGAGTGGTTGGGATTTTGGAGGCAGGGACTTGTCAACAGGGGAATTATAAAAGGAACAACAATGCAGGGATGCTGCCATTCCATTGGAATATTCCTCCTGGCACCCCGGGTTTCCTCCCTGCCTCTGGAACCTTCCTCCTGATGTGGATAAACTTTGCAGTTGGAAGGTTCACAGTGCTCTAATTTACATCTGAAAGAACTGAGGGAAGGCAGTAAATTAAAAGTTTCCCCTCCTGGTTCTAATCTGTAAATAGGGCCTTTCATCAATATAAAATAAAATAAAATAAAATAAAATAAAATAAAATAAAATAAAATAAAATAAAATAAAATAAAATAAAATAAAATAAAATAAAATAAAATAAAATAAAAATTACAGTTTCCCTCATGCACAAAAAGCTGTCAGAATAGTAATTTTTTTTGGTTTTTTTTTTTTGCAAATGATCAGCTTTTGTGCTGGG